TTAGTTGGTGCTTCGGGAGGTAAAATTAAAATTTCCCAGTAGTTTTCAAAAGCGCCATGGAAAACTAAGGAAAACGAGAATTTTTACACAAAATCTGTTTTCGAGAAAATTTGGTTTTGGTTTTTGGTGTAACTTTGAAACAAATGAATGTATATACCTACATGAAATTTCCTAATAGTTTTCAAAAGCATCGGGAAAAACAACATAAAAATTAAGGAAAAACGGGAATTTTTAAGCAAAATCAGTTTTCCACAAAATCAATTTTGGTGTAAATCTATAAAACAAATGACCGTATATACATGCCATTTTCACTGGTTGTTTATATTTGCATTTTCTATACACGATAATATTTTCAAAATATTATGATTTGTTTTGAACTGTTTAGGAACATTTTCATTTTTCACTTTTTTTTTAGTTCATTAAATTATTCAATTCAATTTAAGTTTATTCAATTTTTTTTTATAAGCATTTAAAGTTCAAAAATTTACAAAGTATGGAAAAATCAAGAAAATTAGCAAATTATTTTGAGTTAAGAATACGTAAAAATTTTTCTTTTTAAATCTAAGATTTGAAAATGTAATACAAGATTCTTTATAATCTCACCGAATGTTTATATTAGCATTTCCCATACACCATACAATTTTGAAAATATTTTGACTCTTTTTGAGCTGTTTACGGACATTTACAGTTTTAAATTTTTTTAGTTCTTTTTTCTATAAATATCAATTAAGTTTCATCTGTTGGGCCATAAAGTGTAAAAATTTAATACAAGGCTCCTGATATATTGTTACAATATCAGTTGAAAAATATTAAAATTACATATGCACAATTTTTTTTTATAGTCATTTACAGATCGAATTTTGACAAAATTTATCAAATTTAAAACTGAATAAATATTTTGTAGTTAGAAATTTATAAAATGTTCAACTTTTATATCTAAGGATTAAAATTTTAAAACAAGATTTCACTTAAGTAGTTAATTCTGTTACCAAAAAATCTAAAAAATACGTAGGCACAGTTTATTTTTATAGAAATTTTAAGTTCAAATTTGGACGAAATTACATAATAAAAACCTAGAACTATTTAAAGACTATTTTAGTTATTTTGTTGTGATTGTATAATATTATTCGTGGCTACTTGAAATTTCTATAAAGTACATTATTATATACCTATGATAGTATCAGGGTTTGTTGTTGATGTATAACACGTTATAAGTACCTAATGGATATTGTGATAAGATTAATTTAGAATTTATTATAGGTACCTATTATAGGTCAATTTTTTTTTTTAATACCTACCATATATAAGTAATAAGTATATAATATATCTTATACCTAGACTGACATACCGTCTCCGCTCAGAATCGTTTTTCTTATACAACGATATTATATCGTTGAATTCAAATTTAATTCCATCCATTACACAGTGGCCCACTTGTAACCTACTGTACAGCAGAGCACCTTTTTATCTTTTTGATGTTTAGTTTTTATTAATCTCTGTACCGACAATAAAGTAATGAAATTTTTTTTTCTTTCGAAACATTAGGGTCCCTACTGGATTTCACAGATCACAATCATATATTATTAAATTTATTTAAACTTGTGCACTACCTGCGAAAAAGTTCTGGACACAACGATGCGACGACGAATTTGGTGTTTTAATACGACACTATATATACGTAAATAAATAACAGGAAACGTCTCGTGTTCTACATGTTGTAGTTTGGGCTGAAATGACTTTTCCAGCGTAATTAGTGCCACTAATTACAGAGACTCACAAAATTTCGAACTTCAGATGTCCAAGTAGGTAGTGTTAGACAGAGTGTGTGCAGTAGCTGTGATTGACATCCTAAGCCAGAACAATCACAAAGAAAGTGGTTAAGGAAAAGGGTCAGCGACGATAAAATAAAGTTAGACGTAATACGAGACGGAAAACTGTTTTTTTTTGGGGGGGGGGATGGACGGAAGAAAAAAACCTGTGATGTGACGCGTTTACTACCACACCACCACAATAAAGTATTAACATTGTGGAATAGCCGATTCTTGTGACTTGTACAAGGTAGGACATTGGCTGCAGTTTAATATAATTTATATTATAGCGGATAAGCCTACTGGGATTGTTCATGGGGTCCCTACGTATGCATTTTGGGCAATGAAGCCCTTTTACGTCGTTTGATGGGTATGTAAGCTTTATATTGATTATTAGTATAATATTAGTGTATACTTTGTGTATAATTAATACTATGGACTATGTAGTAGGTATGAAATGCGGTTTACAAGCATTTATATTAAATATTATATCATACAAAACCGATTAAATTCTGATCGAAAAAAAGGGGGCATGTACCAGTTGCCCTCAACCAAATGTACCAGTTGCCCCCAACCGAATGTACCAGTTGCCCTCATAAGTAAATATATATATGATTAAAATATATAGTCCGTAAAATAGGAGAGGTAAATATACAAATAATACCTAATTATAAATAGTAATTATTACAATAAAACATAGTTCATACAATTATATCTAATTTATTTACTATTTTTTTTTTTTGATAAATTATCACATTGAATACCTATGCCGCTTTTCATTATAATTATATTATTTATTATGAATTTTTTCTATCATTTTATACTATTTTTTTGTTGAAAAATTATAACATTCACATCATTATAATATTTATTATTTTATTGACTATTGTATTCATATTATTTTGTTAGTAATTATTATTTATCATAAAATACAATATTAGGTATATTCCAAGCATATACATTTTTTTCTATCATTTTATACTATTTTAAATAATTTTATTTATTATTTGTATATTTACCTCCCTTATTTTAAGGGCTATATATTGTAATCCGGTATATAGTATATATTAACATATAAGGGCAACTGGTACATTTGGTTGAGGGCAATTGGTATATTTTTAAAATCCCGATAACAACCGTGAGGGGCAACTGGTCAACACCCAAAAAAACAACTATAAAAAAGTCGCAAATTTCAAATGTCTTAAATATGATGGAAGTTTATCAAAATATATAGCTATCAATTATTAATTAGGTTGTTTATCGCTCTCCTCGGAAACTAAAAAATTAATATTAGACTCAAAATTATATTAGTTTTTGTAAATGATTTGGGAAGCATTGGAGGTGCTGCCTGCCAGCCTCCACGTTTTACATGTATTTTAATTTTTAAATATATAATAGGTCCTCGTGAAATGTATTCATCAATTATTTTTGGCTTTTTCCTTTGTGTGACACTATATACCTTGTAATACTACATTTGAGTTTTTGGAAAAAAAAAAAATCTTAGGGCTTCAGTTCTGTTCGTGTCTCCGGGGCTTTGGCCAGGCGGTTGACACTGATCTGTGGTAATATGTTTTAAGCCGTTTATAGTATGTACCTAATATGTGAAATGAAAAACGTTAATTTGTAATAGTTAAGCCAGTAAAGGATCGTTATTAACATTTATGACAAAATTAATAACGTTACATAATACCATACGTTATATTGATACCATATTATATTCATGTCAGTGTTAAAAAAAGAGTCCTTTTCAAATACGTGCATTTACTTTTAATTTTCCGAGAACCCTTTCTATATTATCACAATGACAATGTACGGCTTCGCCAAAATAATGTTGAGGCCACAGACTATACTATACTAGATAAGGAACTTCTATATAGGTAATTTACTTTGTTATCAAGTGAAGCTCAGCTGTGGACGGCCACCATTTTTTCGGTTGGCAAAACATTTCATTCATTATACAAAATGAATTAGGAAAAAAACATCGTTTTTAATGGTAAAATAAAATAGTAAATTTAAAATGATTTTTATAAATTTTTTTTAAACAACTGCAGTTTTAAAAATTATTAAATGCAATACAAGATAAATCATAATTATTATTCTTATTCACCATATAAAATACCATACAATTGCCAACCGACATTGAGTCTTCAGTTATTCATTTATTCCCTACATAGAAATCTGTGGTTGAGGTTCTTGGCATGTCGTATGCTTTCACTTAAACTGTCTATACCAGGTAGAGCAGCCCTTGGGTATTTTTATTTCCAGGACGTCACCCGCCGCGGACCCGGTTACCCGGTAAGTGGTCTCGGCCGCACGCATAACGCACGCGCGCATCGCCGCACAGTGACCGAGTGGTACGAGAGAAGAGAGACGACGGCGAGAGAGCGCGCGTCGTCCGCAGCCGCCGCGCCGCGCCGTCGGTCTCGTCCGAGTCGCGTCCCCGGCGCGTTTTAGTTCGGGGAGCAGACTACCAGATGGCCTCGCCGATACTCGTCCGGCGGTAAATCGATAGAAGAACACAATTGTACGCGAAAAGGCGCACCCGCCGCCGCCAAGCGCGCGCGCGCATTGTAATAATGTAATATGAAACAAAATAATATTAAAATAATATAATATTATTACAAGCCCCGTGGCCCCCGCGGCCACGCCGAGTGTTCACGCGCACACGCTTACACTGTAAGTTGTAGTCGTCGTAAAGCGGCCACATCGTGTGCCGTTTGGCGGGTGGTCAGTGGCCGAGTGGACGGGACGATGTGTTTGGTCCGGGTGGGGGGCGAGGTGGTTTCTCTACCGAGTACGTCGTCGTCGTCGTCGTCGCCGCCGCCGCCGCTGTAGTATTGGTGTTGTAGTAGTAATAGTCGACGCCGCCGTCGCCCGTCCGACAGTCGCCGTTCTACATAGCTGGACGTCTGTCGTTCATCGTTGTCCGTCCTCTTAGCGCTTCGCGATCAGTGTTGTGTGTCAGTCCTCCTCGAGCGCGCGTGTTCGTTCTCTTCTCAATATTTTCGACACTGGGTCGCGGTTCCGGCCGGTCCAGACAGATCGTTTCCGGTCACCCATCGTCGTCTCACCTGCGACGGTCAGTGGATTACACGCGTTGTCGGACTTTCAAAAAGCGGTCCGATTCGCCTCCTGGTGCGGATGGAGGATTGACACGCAGTGTGGAAATCTCAGTGGAGACCATCTGACGATATGGACAGGTAAATAAGATTTTTGCGGCACAGGTGTCTCTTGTGCAATATAATATTGTATTGTTTAAAATATGATTGTTTGTTATTACCCGCCGTCCGCCGTGAACCGAGGGTGCCCACCTGTTTACCCAAGTAAAAAATTATAAGCAATAATTATTATAAATAATAATTTATTGGAATGATCCTGTCGACATTGTCGTGTTCTTATATCTGAGTAGTGCGTCTGATAGGTATTATTATATACCTACGTTTACCGTAGTCAGTTACCACACTACGGAGGACAGGTGCCGGTCACCACCCTCCGTCACCCCTTAACACACCCCCTGACGATCCATTCTCGCAGCAAACGGTCGACGATGCCGAAATCGTCAAATTCATGATAAGCGGGGCTGTTGGGTTCGTCAAATGAATAATAGTTTTTACCTCCGTTTCGGCATTCTAGTAACCGATAGCTGCAGTATATTCGATATTCTACTATATTATACCTACTACAACTTATACTCCAGGTCTGGCTCATCCATTTCGGTTGAATCTGTTTGTTTTTTTATTTTCTTATACACCCTCCAGTAATTCTATACCGGTCGGCGGTCTGCGGCGGTAGTCTTGTGTACACACGGTGTATAATATTAATATATAATATCGTTGATTTCATATAATATGATAATATTATACCAGTCCGAACTCCGAATGACGACGAATTAAAACGTACCTCCTATTTGATTTTTGTAACCGTTGCCTCCGTGAAAGTAGAGCGAGGACCGGTGTTGTTAGTTCTTAGTATACTTACCTAGTCCTACTTGTTCATTCCACCTCGCGCTTTTTTTCGTCGTTCGTTGTCCGATGTGAATGTCTTCAACTTGCATTCGGCAACCTCACAAAGGACGTTGTTTATTTATTTTCTACAAATATTACAGACGCTTAAATAAAATAATAAAAACAATTCTACCCATCTATGGCCTAACCTTATATTTACGTGGGCATACTGTTTAATATTTATTATTATATTTCTTACTAACTCCTACGATAGCGACGAATGTACCACCTCCGCGTACAGGTGATATACACTCAAAGTGAAATATTTGTACATCTGTAGTACTGGTGGCGCAATAAATTGCCTTTTATCCGTTTTAAACGCCGTAAACTGTGACTGTGACGGCGTTTAAACTAAAGTGCACGCTACGAAAAATTTAGTAGGTATATTGTTGTTACTTAGTTACAAAGTTTGGACTCGCTTTTATTACCATATTTTATAAATGTTAAATACACAGGCTGTACCTGCGGGTACAATTATAAGAGTATATGAGATTAATGAAATAGTACGTAACTTAGCTCGACAAAAGAAATCGTACTTAGACATGATTGCAGGTGATGCGTCCTATTTGTTTTTATTTAAAGTTGCATTATTATATTTTATTATTTATTATTATACCCATGTACTTACCTATACCTATTAAATAATAAATTTATTTTCCAAAATCCTGATGGATATTTCCTTAAAAATAACAGTTTTTTTTCGATTTTATGGTTATTTGTTATAGGTAGGCTGGGCAATCTACGAAATTGTTCTGTAATCTGTATTAACTGTGTGCCGCTTACCGCTCACGGATAGTTGTAGTAACCAATAACTCAAGTAATAAATAATAACTAATAACAATCCGGACCATTATAAAAAACGTAAATAGGTATTTAATTCAAAAATATTACGATCTAGTGAGTACGATAGTATATATGAGTACCTACCTATCATATGCGATCATACTTGCGTATTTACTATTTAATATTTTGCATCATACAACGGGAAATAAAAATCTGTACCAATTTCGCAAAGAACAAAAACCCGTACCCTTTGAGCTGGCATTGACGGAAATGCTTCGGTGGTCGTCTTTATTTTATTTGGATTTTTGACAGTTAGCCAAGAGCTGAAAAAAGTCGGAGAGGTTAATGCCCCTATAGTAAACGCCAACTATTGAACTATACTTCGCGATTTTTATGAAATCGATTTCTTTTAAATCATTTTTAGTACGTGATTGTTATCTTGACCACGTACCTATAGCTTAGACTGCTTAGAGGGCAAACTTTGATTTTGTATTTAAAAAGTCTGTCGTTTCGTTTTGATGAATGTATTTTTTCTCGATTTTAAACATCTTATCTTGTCGATGTCATTTTAAACATGAGCGTTTATATTTATGATAAGGTATTACTTTTTTTTTTTAAAACATTAAAAAAATGTACATTCTGCACTTCAAGGGCCGAGGCACAATACGCATATTATTATATGATAATAGAGAAACAAAAAAATGACATGAACAATTTAAAAAAAAGAAGCACCACCCCCACTGATCACTCTTTCAGTTACCTACCTATAAAATAATTTATTGTATTTAATAAGTTTAAATACATTTTTTTATCTTAATTTTATAATATTATATGATACAAGTTATTGTACATCGTACCTATACGAAAAGAAAGTTTCACTAATACTCAATTGTATAAGTTGAACGACATTATTGGCTTATCCAGTGTGTATATCCCTAGAAATATCCCGATTTATATTGAAAACGTGACTTATCAAAATTCGATTATAAAATACTGAGTCTATGTAAGATGTTATAAATAAACGGGGTCGAGAAAACGTGCTAATGAATAATGCTATATAAATTGTAGTTATATTTTGTTGCTATTTGATGGTCGGAAAAGTTCATATACAAAATTGTGCGAACTAATTGGAGAAACTACTGTAACTAGTTATACCTATATGTGTCATTAAAATGATTAAACTGCACGTTTTCCTATATTGGAGTATGAATTATTGTAATAAATAATCTAGAAGTGCTAAAATTCTAAATGCTAACAAGTCTTATATCGATGCTTTGTAATAAAACAGTTTAAATAAATTTTGATTGCTCCAAATTATGATATGAAGCGTCAAATAGCGGTTGATACTTAATAGGCGTTTAATATTTAAATTTTAGTAATGATTTATAGTATTTTATACAACCCATAATTCAAGGTGTAATTTATTGTTTACTAAATATGAAAATATTTGATAAGGTATATTATTATATCGGTGCCATATTAATAATTTTACATAAATAAATAATACAGCTAATACCTATTTATATATATTATATTATTGTTTTTTTCTTAAGTTCAAAACGAGTTTTAAAGAGAATCATTAAACCAGTGTTCATATTTAGATTTATTTTTCTATATATTATAATATATAGAAACATATTTTCACCAATATAATTGTTACTCGGGAAATGTTTATAACTCATGTCATAATATTTATTTTATTTTAAATAGTGAAGATAAGGCCAAATTATTACCGTGACCTCTTTAATTTGCGGATACATAATGTACTATTTGTGAAGCAAATTAATAAAACGTGCTCTGGTGGTAATAATTTGTACCTTCCGATTCGGGATGTATAGATATAGTTTTATACTGGTTATTTTACATTTCCTGATAAATACATTTTTTTAATGAAACTATTTACTCTGGTATAATAGCTAACTGCATACGTTGTTAGGTACAATGTCTACTAATACTATTATCAAATACACTCAAATAATTTCACTTAATGCAAAACGTACCTATACGAAAATGTCGGGAAAATATATATAAGCTGATAATAGTGTCCCGATTGGACGTAGGTAGAAATCCACCTAATCATCAGTACGACAAGCATCAACAGCGCTCTCAGTATTAATTTGTTTTGCCAATAGGTATACTTATCTTTACACAATTACAAAGTAATTGATAACACTTAACTAATTTGTTATTTTTTGAATGTGCGAGTGTTTTGAAATTATATTTTTTTTTATTATTTGAATCAGAATATTACAATTTAAACTTTTAATAAAACTTTTTTGTTAATTGTGCGAAGTAAATAAATAATTGTAATTAATAAACCAATTTCCCCTACAAGATTATTATTAAGGATATAAATATATATATAATTTACAAAATATATATAGGTATACGTATATATCATCTTTATATAAAAATAAGTAAAAAAAATTTATCAAAGAAAAATTATCCATAAATCATAATTATTGATATTATTAAAAAGAAAAACATCTAACCCAGCACACACACTTTTATACTGGTATCACTGAACGTTATGAACTTACTTAGTTACTTATACAATTATACCATGTATGTAGGTACCTAGTAGGTACATTACTAAAAATGTCAATATATTTATATTATATATTATGGTATATTGGTATTCTATGTAGTTGACTGCTTTGATTAAATAATAAGAGCAAAAACAACAGACGAATAGATTTTCTTTACATTAACCTTAATATATTATACAGGCGTGTTTATAAAAATATATTTAAAATAAGAATATATAATTTGATTTATAATCTAAATTTTTTTACAACATCAACCTAATTATTTTTTAGTGAATAAACTGATGGTTATTGGATTTTGTTTTATGTTTTTAAATTTAACGTTAACGATGGCATTATATTAGAATAAAGTACAAGGGCCTATACTATCATTATAATATATCATATTATATCAAATAAATTATAAGGTATTGAAATTGAATTAAACTAAACATTTATTCACATTCTATCCAATTTCGTACACTGTGCCTATTGTACGCTTATGAATAATTATGGCACGTTTTTCGCTTTTTTTCATTGTGCACTTGGTTTTAAAATACAATGTATAACAATATTTTTGAAGGTAATAATAAAGATATTATGTATTTGTTATTATTGTTTGAATTTTGATGTACACACAATTACAAAGTGCACAACGAAATTATTGTTGCATGCGTAATACACTAATACCTAATACATAAAATGTCACTATAGGTACATAACGTGGTATCATAAATTTACATGATCACCTTTTCAATTATTTTCCCCTTGGGCTCTATTCGTAGATAATTAGTAATGTAAAATACTTCCTAATTGGTCAAAATGTAAAATTACAGTTATTTATCAAATGTAGGTACGGTACGCTTAACCCACGCCTTTTAGCTTTTG